AACCTATTCTTTCATAATCTCCATTTTAAGGATGTACCTAATGTTAAAAAAAAATCAATTCATTCTTTTGAGGTTACATAATTTATGAGCAGTGAAGGTCGAATTTGACCCTGTCTTTTTGAGAGGATAGAGGCACTGGCCTCCCAGGTCTTTCTTGCCTCTGTTCAGCAGAGTTATAGGGCAGCACTTTGCCCTTTTTTCATGATCTTCTATTGATCTTTCCATGATTCGCCAATGGATCGTGCAAGGATAGTAACATCCTAGTGTCCCTAGCTCTGATCCAGACCTCATTCAAAGGCCTTGGGTCTTTTGGAGCTTTTCTGGGATCCATGACTTTATATGGATCTTGGTGTCAACCTGGATGGACTCACTTTTGTAACAGAAGAGATGAAGCAGAGAGGCCCCTTGGGGAGCTGGGGATGCTGGAGAAGCAGGGCCATTCATAGGCTTCCCTTCCCTGAGGCCACTGCCTGGTTTAACTTCCAAACCATGGAAGCCTCTGCTCAGTGTGGTTTGGTGTTCCTGCTGCATGTTGACAGCCTAAGCTACAGCTTACAAACAAGAATAGAGAATGCAGGTCTGCAGGTCAGGAACCAAGTTACCTCCACGGCTCAAGTCATCCTTCTCACCCCAAGACTGGGCCTCGGTAGTGTTAATCCAGGGGAAAAATGGACATAGGGCAGAAGTTAGTGCCTATTACCCTGGACATCACTGACCTGAAGCATGCCTCAGTCCTGGGAGGCAGGAGCCAGTTTGGAGGACAGGAAGAGGAAGGCCTTCTCCTCCAGGAGACATGTGTACCTGCTCCACCAGCATTTATGAGGCACTGGAATGCTATTTGTTGGTGACCACACAGCTATCCCACCAACAAATCGAGCACTCTTGAAGGAGTTGTAGTGACCTCTTAATGTGAAACAGCATACAAGGAGATGAGTTAAGAGGAAGGGTCTGTTTCTGCACATTTATCTCTGGTTATTAGACACTTTTAGAGAGAACATCTGTTTGTCCACTCTGGATCCCACATTGCAGGCCCCATTTGAGGGCCATTTTGGCTCCTTCTCTGACTGAATGGGGACTAAGCCATAAATCAGAGCCAGATGGGGGACCTGGAATGGAAAACCCAAGGGGACTTTGACTCTTTCACTAAAAGGGAGAAATTGAGTTCTTCAACTGACCCCAAACTGACCATTTTCTTCTGAAAAGCTAAAGAAAATGGATATAGCTCTAAAGGCAACTGGACCTATTTATTCATTATAAGGTTTATCCTGGGGACAGTGCCACTAGTCTAGGTGGAACTTAGGACTCAAACCAAAGCGGAACGTTTGATTATGCTTCCAAAGATCTAGGGACCTGGGCTGAGCTCCATTGTTTGATTTTTCCCTTGGCTTTAAACTTTGGATATTTGTTTTATAGGAGGAATATCTGTGTTTATAGCAGAACTTTCCACGTCACTTCAAACTATGTTCTTAAGAGATGCACATGTTAACTCACTCTCAGGACAACAAGCCAATTAATTGTACAAGAGGAAAACTCTTTGTTTTCTTGTTAAATTTCTAAAGATGCACAAAATTAATATAATAATTGGTTAAATTTTTTTTTGGATATTATTTCTGTAGCCCACAGCTTGAATTTCCCTTCTAGATGTTTTCCACTTGGCACCCCACTTCAAGTTGAAACTTACATATGATCCCATAGTCTCAATTCTAGGTGATATTTTGAAGTCTGCTTTTCTCATTGCTATAGTTTTAAATGTTCATATCTTGGAAGCTTAATTTTCAAAGCAACAGTATGAAGAGATAAGGTCTTTAAGAGGTGACTAGATCATAAGGGCACTGACCTTATGCACGGGGATTAAGGCTGTTATCAAGGGAGTGGATTGATTATGAAAGGGGGGAGTTCCACCTGATTTCCTTTTTTGTCCCCAGCTTGCTTGCCCTTCTGCCATGTTACAACAAGCACAAAAGCCCTTGCCAGACACTAGTGCCATATCTTAGACTAGTCAGCTTCCAGAACTATGACAAATGAATTTCTTTTTTTTTTTTATAAATTACCCAGTCCATGGCATCAGAAAACTGATGAAGACATTCATTCTTCTTCCTGTTCTGCATACCTCTCATGAACCCCTCCAGTTCCTGGCTCCAGTGACTTACCATGGCAGCTCCATTTCTAATGGCTTTTGTACTCATCCTTTGTGTTCTAAATAAATAGCTTCTTGATCCTGTCAATTCTGCCTTCATAATGCTGCTCTTATCCTCCCTTTACTCACCATTGCTAACATCCATGACTTGAATGAATTGCTCATCAAGTCTGAGTCTACTTTTTACTTGGACCCAGGCACAGTCTCATATCCAGACTCATTTCATTACAATTCATTATGAATATGTGGCCGTATTGTTTTCCATAAGTCATAACTCATGTCCCCCTCCTGCTCAAAACCTTTCATTGGATACCTTTCTTCTAAAAAGAGAGTACCACCTTTCACTCCAACATCCAAGCTCTCTGCAATGTTGCTAAACCGGCCTGTCCAATTGTATCTCCCTTTAGCATTTCCTATTCTCTAGCCGAGCTAGACAATCCAGCATTCTTGAAATACACTCATCTATATTTCTTTGTTCAAGTTTCTTCTCTTCCTGATCTGCCCTTTATCCTTTATCTGCTTATCAAAGTCTATATATCATCAAGATTTGTTTCAACCTTTTCCTGAACAACTTTCTTCTCCACAGTATTTTTCTATTTATAACCATTTCAGTATTTTCTTCATATCCATTATAAGACAACACATCTCACCTTTGGTAGACAGACACACAGCTAGACACCCAGGAGCTGTGTCTTACTGGTATTCCTCACTTGTGTAAAGTCTTTGCACAGTGCTCAGTACAGAAGGCTTTTAGTGAATATTCTTTGAACTGGATGGTGCTCTCCACCTCCTTTCTCTCTCCTTGCCATAAGCTTACTTAAACAATTGCTCAATAATAATACTTTGTTTCTACATGACCTTAAAAATTACAATTTTTTTTCACATCTTTTATTTCAACACAAACAGTCCTGTGAGGCAGGACGTCACTGTTTAATAGGTGAAGCTCATAGAAGGGAAATAATTTGCCCACACTACAAGAAAAAAAAGGAATTCATCCATCAATTGAATGCAGAGAAGTATTCTGTTATACACAGAAGATTAAAGAAGGAAGCAAGCAAAGTCGACACCCACCCAAAGATTTCTTCTTCCAACTTTATTCAGTATGGTGGAGACATTCAAGACTGTCATGGGCACTTTTTACAAGGGATAACAGTCAGGGAGTTGGGCAAGAGGCACTGTGTGATCTATTGTAGGTTTATTTTGAATTTGTGACTATTTTCTCCTAATTTCAGCTCCAGATGTAGATATCAACTCATGAGGATACCACAACTCCAGAGGATACCACAATTCCAGGCCTCTTTTCAATGTGAAGACTCAGTAGATTTTTGTTGCTTTTAGGTCATTAGGGAAATTCTTGTTAAACTAAGCCTGGAACCACTCATATGTTTCCCTAGGGTCTGGATGTAATCCTCCTCCTTCACCTTAGGACTGACCCCTTCATTTACCCATCCATCCATCCATCATCCAACAGACATTCCTTGAGTACCAGGTCCAAAAACTACCATCCATTCCATCTTCCTGGACTCTTTTTGAGTCCTCAGTTCCAGAAAGAAGAATCCTACTAAGGTGCTGATAGGGTATGTGTTTCCTTTTCCACATAATGTTTGTGCATTTTACCAGTGGGATTCATCAAGAGACTATAAAGGTTTTATGGGGAAAATGGTGAAGTTGAAGATACTTTTCAGATATAAATGGGTTTTTTCAAAGAGACCTTATGTGGGACTTGGGGGCCAGTAACTTCTAATTTCTTATTTCCCATTGGTCAGACTCTTCTTTTGTTATTCAAGCCATTGAAATGAATGTGCCATTTGATAACTATTCTCCCCAAGAACTTTAATGAAAGCTGTGTCACAAGGCTCTTTTAAATTTTCTCTTACAAGAGATCATTTTGGAGGCTCTGACTCAAATTGCTGATGTTTAAAATTAGAGTTTGAACGGAGTATGTAAGGCAGGAGAAACCCTTGGTTGTTGATTATACTTGCAATTATTAGATACTGCATTTGGAGTTATTAGATATTGCATTTGGAAAACAAAAAGTTCGGGAATATAAATGCATGCACAGATGCAGAAATGGTCGGAATCCATCCCCATCTCTCCTTTTCTGTTCATATTTCCTTTACCTTGAATGGATCCTGGCTGAGCTGCAGGGAGAATTTTTGGGTCCTTATTGCCATGAAATCCTTGGGGATGGAAGTCCCTAGCCATCCCTTCTCTAATACCAGCAAGCAGAGTGAAATAAAAGGCCTCTGGCTTATCTCAAAGCCCAACAGAGAGCTTTGCCTGGAAAAGAGATGAGTTGGTGAGGAAGACTGTATGGCACATGCAGATATGTGAGATGCTCCTTGGGATTACATTGTTTGGAAATTTTGTGAGTACTTTTCCCTCCCCACTTGGCAAATACAGTTCATGAGAACAGTTGCCTCTTTTGTAGGTGGTGAAATATTTTGTCTCTCTAACTTCTCCCTTTCCCCTTTATTCTATCACTTAAATAACAGGTTATGCTCTTCTAGAGTTTTTAAATGCTAGAACAATGAATTGATAACCTCACTCCATAATCTTTTAATACAAATGAGCCATATTAAGTGACATAATACACAATAAAGAATGCATTTATTTGTTTTCCTCTCTTCACAAGTTTAGCAAAATAACTCAGATCCTGATTTTCTTTAACTTGCCAAAAAATGTCTCAGAGTTCAGAGACCTTCAGGGCTCACATGCCAGTTTCAGTGCAGGTTCCGTTCACATGTACTTCTTGTAGTGCTGCCTGCTGAATGAATAGTTTTAGCCATAGTTTGGAGACTACCCCTGCACTATGTGAAAGTTTAATTGGAACAGTTTAATAAATGAGGATTGCTTTTAAAAATTAGAAGGTGATAGTCAGTTCTCCTGGAGCAAGTTTTATGTAGGGGCTCACATCACTGACTGTAGCTGACTGCAGCTTTTTCAGTAACTCAGTAATGTATCTTAGAAACATGCTGTAGCTTTGAATGGACAGATCAATCAATCTTTTAGACTCAGCAATGAATTTTTCATGGTAATCAGAGAGTTGGTCTAAAAACTCCTGCAGTTTAGATCTGAACTGCTGGTGGTAATCAGAAATGATTTCCTTCAATGCAGTGGCCCAGCTTTTAATTATTTCCTGAGCAGTGGTAGAAAGCTCTGCAATCTTCTCTTTCCCTTTCCCATCTGCATCAGCAAGGATGCTAAGATATTCTTGGATATCTCCATGTACAAATTGTTCAACTTGAGTTGAGAGTTGGGAAGCAAAGTAAGCAGCACTGACAGTGTATGTGGAATGGAAGTCCGTAAGGGCTACTGCAAGGGTCTTGAACAGGTTGACTAACTTTTCTTCAAGTTCATAATATTTCACTGTCCAGCCAATTATGCTTGGATCAAAATATTCTTCACGAAGAGCCTTTATATATTGATGGAATAGCTGCAACTCCTGAGAAGCTTCCTGAAGTTTGCTTTCAACAAATTCATTGAACTTACCAAGGTTATGATATAGGTTTTCTTTCAGGGATATGAAGCCCTCTGAAATACATGAGTTGAAGAATATACTGATGTCTTGTTGGATATCATTAATGACATAAGAAAATGTAATCTTCTTTAAGTGTTTAATTTCTTCTTCTATCTCTGTGAAAAAGCTTTGTAAAAGGCTCTGAAATTCACTTAGTATCTCTGTGAACTTGATAGACTGGAGATCATTAGATATCTGTTGGGCTGTATCTGATGAAGATTTCAACAGTTCTCTATACATCAGAATTATATCTGCTAGTGTGTAGCTACTTGAAGAAAAAGGAAATTTAATCTTTAGGTCCTTGATTAAGTTAGATTTCTCTACCAGGTCTTGGGCATGGGAAAGGGGTTTTTCTAACCCATCAAGGATATCTGAATATACTTGGAATAGCACCTTCACTGTTTCCCTCATGACCATAGTGTAGAGCTCATCTCTAGTGTATGTTCCAGCTTTCCCTGGGAGCTGGAGTCTGAACTTCAGGAAATGAATAAATGAGTCAATCAGATGCTTGACTGTCATATTGTACTCCTGGGTGACTTGTACTAAGCTGTCAAGCACCTTATCCTTGAGTTTCACTAAACTGGATTGACCCTCCTCAGCCAGCATTTCCTGATACAGATTCTGGGCCTTGTCTTTCCACTCCTGGTAGGTTCTTGTGGTACCACGGGCTGTTTTTTGGAATCTCATATCCATCTCATCAATTTGTCTCATTGCCCTTAGATAGGCCCACTCAGCACTGTTCTCCAGACTTCTCCTTAACTTTGAAGAAGCATCTTTCAGGTTGAGTCCTGTGTATTCCTGGTGGTACTTGTTTACGTAGTCATAAAAGGCCTCTGTGGCCTTGGGCACATTGTCTTTTAGAGAGCTTAGTAGTCTGGAAGCTGCCTCTTCTTCCCAATCAAATTTGATCTGAATTTCCTTACCAGATTTCTGGTACTTCCACTCAGTTTTAAATATGTTGAGTTTTTTTTCTGGAGAGGACTAAAACCAGCAAAAAAAAAATATACAGATGAAAAGAGCATGTTTTCAATTACTCTGATTATACAATACACTACACTAAAACTTCATTAGCAGTTAAAAGTAAAGATCAGAGAATCTTTCATATTCTACAGGAATTTATCTTTCCTATGTCAGTTCATATGTTTGTTTTATGGTTAAACAAGCCCACTGTCATTAATGTCTCTTTATCATATGTCCCAGATAGGATAAAAAATATGCTTGGCAATTACACAGTGACACTTAACATTAAGGCCTTCTTGGGACTGAAAACTGGGAGAAGTAGGTGGAGAAGGGAGGAGGAACATAAGGAGGAGGAAGGAAGAAAGAGATAGGAAAGAGAACATTCAGGGAAAGAAGTAACAAACAAGGGAAAAAGTTCAGAGCCCATCTATATTTAGAGTACCAATTTCCAAGTCATTCTCCAAGTCTATGACAAACTTTAGTTTTAGGCCTTCCTTTCTGGTAATGGCATTTTTGAGTTGACCCTGGCAGAGATAGGAAAATGATATGAGGGGAATTTGATATGTCTCATTGAACAATCCTGTTGTGGGAAATAATTTTTAAGCCACAAATATTCCAGAAACCATGATTTGAAAAAACAATGTACTCCCATGTAGCAGAGTTTGCCTATGATTTAAGAATAGCCCCCATCTTTCTGGGTTTGTCCAGAAGTAATCAAATAATACTGCTACTATGGTGTCATGTGTGACACTAATAATTAAACTCAATGAAGGACATACTGGAATACTTTCTGAATAGTTCCTCAGCTAAGAAGTTCAGCTTGCTTACTGCCTGTCTTTCACCTAATTTGAGAATATTCTGAAACAATTGCCTTGAATTAAATGTATCCTCCCCAATTCTCTGCTTGTGATTGGATGTGTGCAACCCATTAGATTGGACTTGCCTGAGGGTGGAAGTAGACATTCCACAGAATACTATGGTCACCTCCTTCACCCAAATCCAAGCCCACAGTGCCAATGGCTGGGGAGGCTGCTGAGGAGGACAGGCTTCTCTCATCCTCTTGGTAACTCAGGTGGAGATCAGTGAACGCTGGGCTGGTGATGTCAAGGTGAGCTTTGCCCTGCCAGACCCTGAAAGCAGACAGGCAGACGAGTGGTAAGGAAAGAGATATAGGTTTGGAAAACATCATAATCAGTTTTGAAAAGAGATGAAATTTCAGTGAAGTTTCATACCAAAATCCTTTATATGCGCCATCTTCTTTATATTCTGCACTGAAGTCACGATGTGCAAATGTGCCTTTGGTCTTACAGATGAACATGCCATCCTTAATTTTGTGTGTTCCCACAACTGTATAGGAGAGATTTTTTTATTTCATTAGGTGACTAACTGTGGAACATATATATTTCATTGTGAAAAAATTTGAGAATTCTGCCTTAATCAAACACCCAACTTACATGTTTAAAACATGTAATGTGTAGACTATAAATTTTATTAATTTTTTTGCAGTGCTAGGGATCAAACCCAGGGCATCACATGTTAGGCATGTTCTCTACCATTGAGCTACACCTGAAGCCCTATAGTGTTTTGTTGTTAATAAACAGAAGATCTGGGCATGGTGGCCCACACCTATAATCCCAGCACTCAGGAGGCTGAGGCTGGAGGATCACCAGGATAAGCTGGCCTACATGGTGAATTCAAGACCAGTCTGGTCTACATAGTGAGACACTGTCTTAAACAAACAGAGAAACAAATAAAATCCTAAAATCATCCTAAAATCATGACAGAAAAATCTATTTTCTTTGAAACTATTCATCAGTGTCAGTTTTCTACCGTTTTTTCTCACATATGGGACACACAAACATGCACATGAAATTTTGCTACAGAGAGTAGCTGTGCCTTTAGTCATAACTAAATACATCATTATTTACTCACAACTCTGACTGAAAACATATAGTATCTAGGAGGGGAAGTAGACCACTTCCTTACCATTTAGGTCATATTCCAGAAACTGTAAGGTTGAGCTGCATGTGGAATTCAGCAATATTTCAACATGATCTGCTTTGTTTTTCAAACCAGCACTCCAAGAGGCATTATAGAGAGGAGAGTTCACCCCAAAATGTGCAGTCAGTGCTCCAAAAAAGGGGACAAAGATTCCTGCAGGTACAGAGAGCTTAAAGGAAGGAATCTCAATCTTCTGCTCAGGCAGGGTGACAGTAGGCAGCTCAAAGTCTGCAATCTTATTGGCTACCTCATTTAGATCCAAAACAGCACTACCAACTGAAAGACTCTTTGGAAGAGTGAACTGGTTCACAGTTAACTGAGCTTCAGGCACAGTTATCTCAAAAAAGGGAACAGAGGAGTCTTCTGGTTTAGAATATTTTGTTAACATATCAACTACAGGGAATTTTACTTTGGGAAGTATTGGTAGGTTGAGAGAAAATGGTGAAGTACTTAATTTCTTATAGATTTGTATTCCACTGAAGTCAAGTTTGTAGGATGGAACCTGAAGATCTGTAAATGGGACTTGGAATGTAGGAGTGACAAAAACTGAATTCAGACCATTTAGTTTCAGTCCCGGGATAATGAATCTATCAGCCAGTTCTTGCACAGGGATAGAGAAAGGATAGCCATTGGGGTTTTTGGTGTATACAAGAGAGGTTGAAGCATGAAGATACTGTCTCTTGCTGGTACTGGTGGTTACACCCAGTTTTAGGAGATCCTGTAAGCTCTTGTCATACACTGGGAGGATGATATTTTTGAAGTACCATGGGTATCCTTCTAAAGATCCTGCAATGTCAAGGTGTACCTCCTCTTGGTCGTTGGAAAACTGTACACTGTTCTGCAGATCTCCAAAATGGAACCGGGCCTCACTTTTCCAGCTGATCTTCTGGTTCTTGGTGTTAGCATTCAGAGTCACCTCCTGACCAAAGTGAGAGATATCAAGGAGGGAACTGGGTTGATTTGCATGAACCTGAATAAGGGCTGACATTGTCCATGGGGAGAGTTCCAGGGTGGTTTTGCTTGTATGTTCTCCGTGTGTGAAAAAGAGGTTCTTTAGTTGTAAGCGGTTTTTCATATTGTGTTCGTAGATGGCGTATATGCGTTGCAGAGTGGCTTCTCCAGCAAAATTTTCTTTTACTTCAAGGTTCCATATACCATCAACTTTGGAAGCCCCCTGCAGCTTCACTGAGGACCGGGTGCCCTTGGAATTGAGGTAAGTGCTGGCTTCACTGACAATAGTTCCAGAATATTCCTGTGAAAGGATGGAACCCTTCATATCTCCCTTGGTAGAAGACTCAATGGAAAAGTAAGAGGTGAGGCTTTCTAAGCTGAACTTGTTGTAAACTGCCCCTTTAACAGTGGAGTACAACTTTGAGGAATTGAAGTCATACTTCAATTCAATGGTTGAAGAGACTGTAGGTTTTGACTTGGTATTTCCATTAAGTTCTTGCTTGAAGTTCATTCTCAAAATTGGAATGTGGACTTTTGCAGTAGTTGTCACTGATGCTTCCATGTTTTTCTTGGTTAAGCTAATGGTGCTGTCGTGACTGCTCTCAACAAATTTGTTACTCAGAGATAGAGCTGTGGCTAACTTCAGCCCTCTTCTCCTTGTCAGTCTTGAAGTGCCCTCCAGTTTGTATTGAAGTGCATCAATGACAAAGGAAGAGGAAGAAAGGAAATGGGCAACAATATCTGATTGGTTATAAAGTCCAGCATTGGTATTCAGTGTGATGACACCTGATTTTAAAGAAAAATCATAGGTAATATTGCCCATGGCTGGAATAAGAATATTGTTTATGGTACGCAATTCCTTGAAATCTGGGAGAGAAGCCTTGAGTAGATTTGTAGGGACTGGAAGGACTGGTAGCTGGAGAGATGGCAGACCTAATGTGTATGAAGGCACAGAGAAGCTTACTTTCTCAAAATGCTTGCCCAAGGAATTGACGTTCTGTCTGATAAACTCATAAAACACACCCAAAGGGATTGCAATGGAATGCCTGTCTTTGTTTTTCTTATACTGAGCCTTTATGTTTAAATCAAATGATTGCTTTGTTGTTTTCAAGAATTCCTTCAAGCCTGTTTGTTCCCAGATGGAGAAATCTTTCAGTGAGGGAGTTGTGAGTGTTGTATAAGGTAGATTCATTTCAGGAATTGTTAAAGGAATATTTAAGAAATCCAAATTGGCATCTCCACTGATTCCTATGTGGGATTCCATGCTGTTCTCATTGTTGGTAGCAGAGAAATTTTGATTGTACTTATATTGATTGAACCTAGCACTTGCCTGCCAGCTTGTTTGCTGGGCATGAGGACTCAGAAGCAATGCATAGTTATTCAGGAAGTCTATCTTCCCTGACAACTTTAATGGAAAACTAACTTTCAAATTCCCTTCATTATTTGTGGATGCAGTCATCTCAAATGGTTGTGCTGAAAAGAAAAGAGAATTTTTCAAAGTTCCAGTAACTTTTCCACTTAAACGAGCATTGTGGTCACCAGTTACTTCTACCTTTCTTTGTCCTAGCAATGCTGTACCTTTAGTAGTTAGAATGCTGTGGCCCACATGCTGGGATTCAACTTCTGACTGAATGTCAAACTTATAAAAGTCAAAGAGGCCAGATTCATAAGCCAGGTTTTGGGTTACTCTTAGGTGTTTGCTATTGATCTTATTGGACAATCCAAAGGAAGTGATGGGCCCTTCCACTATGAGGCTAATTTGTGATTCATGTGTCCCCTCATCTGAGAAGTTGGGACATGCCCATTTCCATGATCCTGTTCCTGAAGAAGTCCATGTCATGTGTCCAGCCTCCAGTAGTGTCTTCATTTCATTGAGCAGTTCAGCCTTACTGGAGAAGTCCAGTTTGGGGATGTTTAATTTGTGGAAGTACTTTGTGTGGCTATCCAGGGTAAGCTGATGGTTTATCTTAAGAATCACACCATTATTAAGCTCCAGTGTATTTTTTTCTGTGTGCAAACGTGCCACTGTGTCTGATTTCCCTTCAATGGCATTTCCAGAAAATAGCATCTTACTTTCATGCTCCATCCTCAAGTATTTGCTGGAGAAGTTCACAGACTCCTTCAGAATCAGTAGATCAATCTTGGGCTCTAAGAGTTGTGCATTTGCTTGAAAATCAAAATTGAGAACTTCTAATTTGGACTCTCCTTTAGCAGTGATGGAAGCTGTGATCTCTGCTTTCTTCTCTGAAGTAGTTACATTCTGTATATCAGCATTTGCATCTAATATGAAAAGGGGAGATTGGATTTTCAAAAGGCTATTCAGCTTGCCAAAAGCAGGTATTTCAATTGTGTGTGAGATGCGGGGAAGTTGGAATTCTGGTATGTGAAGGTCAACAACTTGAAAATCTTCAAGGTTAAGATTTGGAATTATGAACTCTGGAATTTTAATTTCTGGTAAATGGAAGTCTGGCAGGGTGAGTCCAGCAAGAGGCATGTCCCCCATCCTCAAATCCCTCAGGTACACCTCTGGAACTGGCCACTGCAGCTCACTGCTCAGCATTTGGTCAATGGTTCTGATGATCTTTGCTTTTATTTCTACTAAGTCAATTGTAAAGGAAGGAATGTGGAAGGTGTTGAGGACAGTAAATTCTGGTGTGGAAAACCTGGATGGGACTTTTATATCTTTCAGCTCTTTGAAGTTTATTTGAACTGATGGAATCCTCAAATCTGTCAGGGGAATTATGAAGTCAGGAGTCTGGAAGGTAGCGTCTTGAAGAGCACGAAGACTGATCTCAAAGGCAGGCATGGTCCCGAGGATAGTTTGGATTTCAGGGACGGTGAACCCTCGTTCCACCAATGCTTTGACATTGTCAGCTAAGTCTTGGATAGAATATTGCTCTGCAAAGTCATTAAGGTTCTTAGCAGCAAGAATCCACCAGTCAGAAATGTAGGTGACAAGTGTATTATAAACTTGGCCTACCAGAGACAGGTATCGTTCAAGTTCCCATTGAATGTCCATTCGATAAATTTGGTCTCTTATATCTTCTAGAGTGTCTTGGAACTGGGTTTTAACGTGAACCAAAGGTGCAGAATTTAATGCATTCTGTAACCAATCAATGAACACAGTTAACTTGGTGTCCTTTATCCTTTCTAGGCCATCACAAACCATGGCCTTGGTGTCCTCTACAAACTGCCTTAGTGCTTCAGCTTTCTGTGGTAGTTCCAGTCCCTGAATTTCACCATTGATCCTTTGAGTCACCTCACGGATTTTGTTGTTGGTTTCATCTACAAACTGGTGGTAATCAAATGATTTTAATTTCTTTATCAACACGTCAAGCAATCTGTTTATTTCTTCAATGAATTGCTTAAAAGACAATGCTTTAAGCTGCTGGATAGCATCATCAATAAATCCAACCAGTTTCTCATAGTAATCTTTTATCTCAAATCTTTGTAGGACATTGCTTAGTTTCTGAACAGTCTCTTCCATCTTATATTGGTGGGCCAACTGTACTGACTTATCCATTAAAACCTGGATTTGTTGGTCTACTTCATATTTCTTCATTAACTCCTGGACTGTGGTGATAAAAGCATTGATTTTCTCAGTTACTTCAAAATCTTCAATAAGATTCATAACAAAGTATTTGACACGCTCAATAATGTCGTTTATTCTTTGAAATGGAATCACAGTTCTCAATTGATCTAAAAGCATTCTGACATCAGTAGCCTCAACTTGTTGGTTTAGCCTTGCAGCAAGCTGCTGGATGTCTGTATTCTGAATCAGTGTCCTGAGCTGTTGCAATTTTTCTTGCATTTGGGTTCTGATTTGATACTTAGTATCCACATTTTGAATCCAAGAGGAAGTACCACTCCCAATTTTGTTAAAATCAATGTTTTCAATAAAAGAATGTAGTTCATGGATTGATTTTACTGTATTTGCGTGAATATGAAAACGTTCATCAAGAAGTTTTAATCTTTCAATGATTTGATTGATAATCTTAGCAATAGCTGTTTTTAAATCACTTAGATCATAATTATCTTTAATATACTGATCAAATTGTATCACATATGTCTGAAGTTGAGAGATTTTTTCATTAAAGTTGATTTTGGCATTATCCAATGCAATTTGCAGGTCATTTCCTGTAATCCTGTAATTTTCTGTGAAAGCAGTTAGTTTCTCCTTGGCACTGGAAACTTGTCTCTCCCAATTGAAGGCATTCAGGTAATCATTAACTTTTTGTGGGAGGCTGCCCAGGGCTTCTCTGTATTTCCTCACAACTTGATCAATATTGATGCGTTTCAATTCTGTCTGTATGGTTTCCAGTGCAGTTATAATTACTATTCGATTCCTCTCCAGATATTCTGGCAGGGCTTGAAAGAAAGGGAGACTAATGGTGTGGACATCTTGGTTCTTATCATACTTTATAAAAGCAACAATTGTGAATTCCTGGGGCTTGTCAATAGCATCTTTCATCTCTAAGGAGTTAAGGACGTTGATAGGCTCACTGAGTAAAAATGGCACTTTAATTGGAGAGTCTAGCATAGAGAGGTCAGCCAGGGCTCGCCCACTAAGCTCCACACCGATTTTATCTTTAGTATTGTAAGCTTCAAAGTCCTGGCTATACTCATTGTCATTGAACTGGGTCTTGAATTTCCAGGTGCTTGTCTGCTCAGCTGGAGTAAGCAGGGCGCTGACTTTGTGATCAAGAGTTGCACTGATGCTTTTCCTGGCCAGGAAGTGGTGACTTGAGGATCCTTTGTAATCGTGGGAGAAAATAAGGGCCAAGGGTTCTGCTTTCAGCAAGAATTTGCTATAGAGTTGCCCAGTGTGCTCTCCCCAGAGAGCCAGTTTGCCATTGCCATTTGTATGTGCATCGATGGTCATGGTAAATGGGGCCATCATGGAGTGGAAAACATTGCTGAAATGCAGTGAGTCAGAATTATAGTTTGTACTGATGTCAACAGAGGACGCCAGACCAGCAATGTCCGTGTTGAGCCGATGGCTAAACTCTGCACCCTGAACTCTAGCTACTGTATCTGCTCTGTAACTTGCTGATAAGTCAGCATAAGAAAAGGTATAGATATGTTTTATTTCATTATTTTGGTAGGCTCCTTTTAGGTTACCACCCACACTGAGTTTCAGAGGTTCCAGACGTAATTTCCCACTGCTGGTCAAATCTAGAGCCCTGAATTTCAGGTCATTGTTTAATGTAGTTACAAGAGAATAGGGCTGTAGTTGTAAGTTAAAATTTTGCTTATAAAACTTGTCAGAGCTATAAATGTTGTCAAGTTTTGAAGAGAAATCCAGTGATAAGCCTGCAATGTTCAGACTATTTGTATGATCAAGCTTCATCTCAGCATAGGAACCCATCATGTCATTTGAAAGCTTCAGTCCTTCTTGGCTGATTTTGAAGTTGAAAACATTTTTGCTGTCCACACCCAGAATCATGGCCTGATAAACACTTCCCAACGATACCTCTGTGAGGGCAGCTTTTCCATCTAGACTGAATTTTGCATTATGTTCCCTGAAGCGACCATTTGTTGTTAATTTCATGGACACGCCAGAGAGGCCAAGTTCTGCATTCAGCTCATTCTCCAGCAGCAGGGGACTGTACTTTAGGTTGGTGGTTGCACTGGTTGATAGTCCATCTCGCGCGATCCTTAGTGTTGCCTTGTGGGCACCAGAATTTATTTTGTCAGTGCCCAAGATATCAGCATTTAATTCAACACCACGGGAATTTAGTGATCCAGAAAGCAAGGCAAATAATCTTGAGGATTTATAATTGGCTTGATACTCAGAACGCAGCAATGCATTCTGCTTAGAGAAGATCAGATCCACCTTGTTGGAAGTGACAAAGTTCTCATACTTCCCATTGCTGTCCGATTTCAAAGTCAATTCATAGTTTTCATACTTCAGGGAAGCAGTATTTTTGAACATGCCACCTTGTAGATCAGAGGTAGAGGTGAGGGAGAGGGTTCCATCCTGGTATCTTCCCGTTATCTGGTTGGTACCCTGGAGATAGGAGGAGTTAAACCTAAGGTTGGACTCTCCGCTCAGCTGGCCAGTGGTAGGATCATTCTGACAAGACAGGCCATATGTGCCTGTAGCATAGAATGAAGAAGCTCTGAACTGCCCATCAATCTTGACATCTTTGACATACAAATGTTGTTTCTTTTTGGAGTCTAAATGGACTGAAGCAGACATCTGTGGTCCCCAGGCACTAGATGCATCAAATGTTAGTAAACCTTTTGAGGCTGGGTTGTTTCCAAGTTTTTCTACATGGCTGAATTTGATATTTGAATCTAGAAATTTGTGGCGTAGAGCTCCATCACATGACAATGTGAGCGTGTTCCTGTGGTCATATGTTGTTTCTCCAGATCCTAACATAAAAATTGAAGACATTGGTTAAATTAAGTGATAAATGTTCAAAGCAATTCCTATGCTGAAAAATCTTTAATAATAAAGTCTCAATTATCTGTGTCAGTGTGCAGTTGTCTCCTTATCTATAATTTACACATAAAATTTCGTATCAATAGGCATTCCTCCAAGAAGGAATGAGCACTGCAGACCTTACTGAGTTTCCACACTGTATGTTATATAACCTATACCTTTCTCACAGTGAATAATACATTGCTGTTTAATATGAATGTTTTCTTTATAACTGCCTAGCAGATTATTTTACACATATTATACAGTTAATAAATATTTCTATTAGTTGAATGAATGAGAAGATGTCTAAGTAGCAAGGAAAATATTATCAGAAAGTCTAAGTCCTTTCCTACAGGAAGCTCTCCCATCAGAGCCTGCAGTGAATGAGCCCTGTATACCTTTTACCTGAGCATAGCTCACCTTGCACACTGTAGGAAAGCAGGTCAATCACAGAGTCAGCCTTCATGTGATACCGGGCCTGAAGACTAAAGTGCTCTCTGCTGGTATTGCCACCGGTATAAGAGGCAGACCAATTGTACAAGTTGCTGTAGACATTTGTGGAGAGGTCTAGAACTCCCAAGAATGGTACTTGCAGTTGATACAACTTGGGGATTGTGAAAGTGGGAACCTGGAACACTTGAGATGGCAGCTGGAGTCCCACAGACTTGAAGTTGAGGGCTGGTGTCCTGATGGTCTCTAGCATCTTTAGATCTTTGGAAGATTTACCACCAAAAGGCAAAGGAATCTCAATTTTCCAACTGTTCTTGTTCAAGGTATATTTGACCCGGCCATCACTGAAATGAATAACAAAGACAATGTTCCCACAATCAGACACGAAGAACTCAAAGCTCTCTGTCTTCTGACCTTCCAAACAACAGTGTTTAAATTGTTTTTCTTCTTACAATTTTAAATTAAAAGTCTATATCATGTAAAATTTTCCATTTACTTTGCATGGTTTGAGAACTTCTCTGGTTTTTCCTTTTACCTTTTTAAGAAGAGGTTGTCTGGGATGTGGAAGTCTGGCAATCCCATTTTCTGGAGGTTCAATTCTGTGAGGCCGTTGAGGTGATCCTGCAATATCTGGGTGTAAGGAAGACCTCTGGATGCTATCTGAAGCCATGTGCTTGTGGCCTACAAAATTGTTGAAGATTTTTAGAGTAAGTATTTGGCCTAATGGGCCTCAAAGGCCAATTAACATTAGCTAATAATCGATGTTTGACAGGTTAATTATCAAGCAAGGATAAGTCACTGAAAGTAAAAAATAACTTACAGAAAATTATGAATTTTGGCAGCCAGTCACTGAATGTGGAACCTAGTTAGACCCCCTAGGCAGAGTCCCAAGCTTCTTTTATACCTTTAGGCACAGCAAACTCTTGTTTAGAAGCATTCATTTGGTATTTATCACATGCCGCTTTGTGTAACTGGGTAGCTAGCCACACACACACGATATTTGTTTTAGGCATCTTTGGATACCCTCTTGCACCTTTCTCAGTTGAGGATGTAATTAGCATTTATAACCACGCATTTATTTTGCCTGCTGATTCATACTTACAACTATTAGTTTGGAACCCATGTGCCGGAAAGTCATGTCTGTGTGAGGGAGTCTGTGATCCAGAAGACTATTGGCATACACATGCAAGCTTCTAGGGTAATCAGAGAGATCCATGGGGAAATTGGAAGCCACTTTTTTGGTATCCACATTGGTGCCTGCATTCCACTCAAATTCAATCTTTTCATCATCTGAAAATTCACATATGACACGGTGGTCAGCGGTACTAGTCGGTTTATAACCATGGCTCCCAACAGCTACCCTCAAGTACACAGCACCCTTGGAAGCACTCATGTGGGAGAAGAGCACATACCATAACGCCATGCCACCTTTTTGGAAATTGTTGAGCCATAAGCTGTAGCAGATGAATCCATCCGGAGGACCAGTTTTCTGGGGGACCAGTGAGTGTGAACCTCACTCCTGGCTTCTGCTTGCAAACGGGGTATGGAAATAACACCTTTGATTTTGCCTTCTCCATTCTTGTCACAACTATTGAAAGAAAAACAGTTGGCATCAATAATGTTACCTATTCCAAGGAAATACACAGAATTCAACAATTAGAAGTTTCATTTTTGGTGTTAAAAACATGGCATATGAATGGATCAAAGAATACAACAATAGGTAGACCAAACTCATTATCTTCTGCAGCTAATGTTCAGAATAAATTCAGGACTTTGCAGAGAGGTCTAGGGGACAGATAAGGTTTTTCAAAATTGTTTCTATCCTGCTCTGTTGTTTATTAGCTCTTCAGCTTTGGCCAAGTGAGTAAACCATTCTGAGTTAAAATTTTCTTTTCTATAAAACAGGACCGAGATAATTCTTTTTACTGCATCCAGCACAGTACTTGATAAATGAATAGTAAGTCCCCAGTAAATGACAGGAAAACTCAAGTGCACATGTACAGAGGGTCAAAACATTGAGGGCTTATTTGCCACTCAGATTGTAGAGCAGAGATGCCTCTGTCTTGCTCCAATCTAAAGCTGGAGCCACCAGGGCTTGCAGCTCCTCTGGGGTCACACTGAGTCTTCCTTACCTTACATGACCCGTGAAAGCAACCTCAGTGATTTTCTTGTTCTGAATGTCCATGGTGAGTTTGTAAGACTTTTTGTCCTGAGTAGAGTCATCACTAATTCTGAGGATTGTCCCAAGGTCAACATCGAAATCTGGAATTTGGATTTCACTGGATAAAGTCTTACTCCGCCGATTGTATTTGAACATCATAGTAGCCTCGGTCTGTTTCACACCTGAAAGAATGTACAAGAGCGTCAAGAAATGTGTGCTAAAAGCTGTGTTTAGGAAAAGGAAGCAGAAGAAAGACAGTGAAATCCTAAGCACTCAATGTGTTTTAATGAGGACACAGTTTGGAGTTTTCCCTTACATTTTTAAGTCTGGTATTCATAAATTAATTTAATTTGCAAGTATTTACTGATGACCTATTAGTGCTGGGTTCTGCTCTTGGCACTGGGGCATCCTGTTCTCATGAAGCTCACCTACTGTATAGACAATAAGAAAATCAATTACTTATATTTTATGGTAATAAATGTCATGAAGAAAAATAAAACTGGGTTTGAGGGTAAAAGAGAGGGATAGAAGAGGTGCCGTTTCACATGTGGTGATCAGAAGAGTTCTCTCTGTTAAAGAGGTCTGCAGGCAGGATCACAGTGAAGAGAGGGGCTTACCACCTCCAAATTCTGGGGAGAGCATTTCAGGCACAAGGTTGGCCATGCAATGGATCTGACGTGGGGGACACTCAGTGTGTTCAAGGAATGCGAGGACTGATTTTCAAAATATGGTCAGGAATCTGACCACTTCTCACATTTTGTCACCACTGTGATCCAAAGCACCTTTATCTCTTCTTTGGATTATTACAATAGTCCATATACTAGTTTCTCTGTCCTTGTCCTCTAATAATCTTTTCTCAACATAAACATAAATCAATTGTAAAAACTCTCCCATGGCTTCTTATTTCATTCGTAGAAAAAGTCACTCTTCTTATTACAAGACTATCTTTCCCTCATCTCCTCTCCTCTTATTTTTCTGATCTTATCTTCTATCTCTTCCCTCCCTTCTTGCCTTTTCTTCAAGCATGGCAGCCACATGCCAGCATCAGGGCCTTGCACCTGCTGGTCCCTTAACCCATAACTCTCTTTCCACATGGTTTAATCCACTTACCTCCCCAGGTCTCTTTTTTTATGCTTACCTTACCGGTGAAACTTTCCCTTATCATTCCTGCTTTTACTGCTTCCGCCTATATGCCCTTCTTCCTACCAATTCCGGTATTCCCTAGACTTGTTCATTCTATTTCTTTCCTCAGAACTGGTCTGACATCTGAATATTTACTTGTTTGGTTATTGACTGAAACGCTGATGAACTTTCCATTGGTCACTGTTCTAGTCTCAGCTCTTAGACCATGCTGACATATATTGAATATTTAGTAAATACTTGTTAAATACGCTGCATTAAATATGTTCTCATGAGTCTGGAGCCTGGGACTGAGGACAGAGAAAGAGCAGTCTGTTTTTAGATACTCACCTTCAGCCTGAATTACAAACTTCAGTGTGTCCACCAAGGCTTTCTCTTGTCTCTGGAGTTCATAGGTTGTACTGGCAGAATACTGCTCTACCTCCCCTGTAGGCTGCAGTTCCAGCTCATATCTGAAGATAGTACAGGGCATCCAGTGCATAATGTTAGTGCATTCAAGACGGTAATAACATCCCCCAAACAATTCAGCCTCAAGTGCCTTGCAAATGTGGCCCTTGTTCACATTGTCTCTTTCCCTTAACTAGCAGTACTATTTAGGATCCCCTCCAGTCTCCCCAAGTGCCCAAGGCAAGGGAAAATTCAGAATTCTCCGGGCTTTTGGATAATTGGAGCAAGAGTTGGTTGGCTGCTCAGCCACCACTGAGAACAAGAAGTGAGAGGAAAGAGATGAAGACAAAGAGACCCTAAACATGGTAAAAGCTTGGAGCCCAGAGGCAAGTTCCAGGAAGCTCATACCAATGGGTCTGGAGACTCAGATACTAAAAAAAAAAAAAAAAAAAAAAAAAAAAAATTAGTAGCAAATTGGAATGTGCTGTGATCTCCTCAAGTGCGTGAAGGAACAGAGGGGACACCCACAATGATATCTGCTTTAAATATCTACCATAGGGTGGTGCAAGCCCCCAAGGCTGGTGAGACAGGACCACAACATGTGGCACTTTCCTCTTTGCCCTGCCAGTAGCCGTAATGTGGAAGATGAACTGATGCTGGCCAGGCACTGAGCATCTCTCACCTGGTGTCACCTGTCAGTGGGTAGTAGGAGGCAGACTCAGTGGAACTGGCATTGGAGTAAGCACCTGTGGTGCAGTAGTTCAGGCCTGTGAAGAAAGGCTTGCAAGTTGACCAGGACTGCCTGTTCTCGATGAGAGGTGGGATAGCTTCCGTTTTGGTGGTAGAGAGCAAATGCAGGGTGTTGCTGGTGAAAAATGAGAAATCTGAGTTATGTTCATGTCATGAATTGAAACAAATATCACTGATTCTTACCATGCATATGCCCCTTTATCCTCCTCTCTACCTCTCCTCTGTCCACAACCACATCACATTATTTGATTTACTGAGAAACAAATAATATCAGGAAGAGTATCAATATGACTGACAATCATAAGGACTCTTCTGTCTCAGACACTGCACTAAATTCTTTATAGGTGTGTTACCTTTAATCTCCATCACAGTAGGTCTAGGATTCTCTTTTTACAGAGGACACAGAGGTTCAGAGACGCTAACTAATGGATTACTAGGACTGACCTTAGGTGTGCTCCTTCCTTTCTGTGATCCAGGGTGAAAGGAACCTTGTCTCTTTTTCATCTGAAATCTCTTAATCTTTACTGGTTTCTTTCCACCAGCATTAAACATGTTCAAGCCTCTTCTCACTTTCACACCCATTCCCCCCCACACCTTCTTGGCCTCTCTTGTCTCCCTTATAACCCAGTGTTCTTCCACCGTATTTTTCACAGAACTGCCATTTGATTGCTACACTCATGCTTCTGAAAATGCTTTCACCAATATATCCAATCCCTTTCTTTCTCCTAAATCCAATGAGCATAGTTAGACTTTATCTTCTTGACCTCTCAGAAGCATTCAGTAGAGATGCTCACTTAGGCCAGATCAAGATGTCAGAGTCTCTGTAAAGATTATGGCACACTCCTCCCATATATTTCTAAAAAAATTATAAAGTAAAAGAAAATTCAACAGTGATCTGACTTCTTTTTTGAAATATCACGTTCTTTCCCCAGTATGGTCTCCTCATTTTTGGTGGCACCCTAAGCCCAGGTTTGTTGATGTGCTGATCTCTGGTGCTAGTGGTACCTGACTGTAATATGTTCTACCCTCTGAATGCTTCTTGGTTTCTATGACCTCTTATTGTTTTGGTTATCCTTCTGCCTCACTGGTCACTCCTCAATCTTTGTTATTTATTCTCCCTCTCCCTTTATAGATCTGTGTTCTCCACATTGTTGTCCTGGTGTCTTACTGGACACCAACTGCTATTTGATCTCACCTCCATATGCTGATGACTCCCACATCTGTATGTGAGCTCATTCTCTTTACTAGGCTCATACCATAGGTTCATTTACCACCTAGACAGTTCTGATTGGTTGTTTCATCGTAAATCAAATGCAGCACACCCAATACTGAATTTATTATCTTCCTCTAAACTAGCAACTTTTGCTCTGTGGTTCCTATCTCAATGAAGGGCACCCCACCTCCCTTTCCTCTTTCTTTTTCCTTATTCCAATTTTCAGTCAATCACCAAGTACTCATGCAATTTCTAAAGTGAATCACCAAGTACCTCTTTGTAATTTCTAAAACTTACTCACTCCTCGCTATCCTCCAATGCAGGACACTGCATTGGAATGCGGTGCAATGGGACATCTTACCCATTTATGTTTGTAACAGATTCCTAACTTATCTGTAGTCATGCCTCCTTTCCTCCATTTTCCATTCTGGAGTTAGAATACGCTTCTAAAACACCAACCTTATTTTATTTGTCTCTCATTTCAACCCAAGACAACTCTTCCTGCCCTCAGAAGAGTCTAAACTCTTCACAGTGGTTTACAAGGTGGTCATGTTCTGACCCAGGTCACCCTCTCCCCTGTCATCTCTCACGTATGTTTCCTGCACACTATAAACTTTTTTTCAGCTCCTTGAGCTGTTTTCTTTCTCATTCAGGCCATTACACATACTTTTCTCTTTGCCTGGACATTCACTGATTCTTTCTTTGCTTGGAAAACTGAAACAGCCCTAGAGAGCAGATCAGTTATACTTGCTTCAGAAAGTATTCCCTCAATTCCACAGGCTACCTGACCCATGATTTCACAATACCCTAAAACTTCCTCAAACCTAGCCCTCACTTTATTGCTACTGCTTCTTTAATTGTGTCTTCTTTGTAAAGTTAAGCTCTAGAGCATCAGGGATCTTGTATATCTCATTCAACATACTTGGTACATAATAGGCAATTAAATACTATTTCTGAATGAGCTAGTAAATGTGTCCAAAATATGACAACTAAGGCATATCAGTGGTTGAGAACATCATTGAAAACTGAATTTTCAATATGAGGCAAGGTTCCACAATGTGATTAGGGTTTCATGCCTTATCCACTGAGTGAGCTACCACAAATCAGTACTTTTTTTTCTGAGAAAAGTGTTCATTCTCAAGGAGAATTTCTCTAGGGCTAGTGTTTTTTCTTCTCAAAACAAATAAAACCAACATCCCCCACAACCTAATAGATATTAAGTAAATCTCAATGCAGAACAACACAGAATAATTTTGCAAAATGTGGAAAAGTAGAAGAAAAGGTAATCATTTGGTGGGTCTGAGTTTAGGCTAGGTTAAAAACTAGGCAATCCAGAACTAGAATTCAGAACCTTCTCTCCCTCTTCCTCTCTTCTTTTACTGGAACTTAAATTATCTCGGTCAGCTACCTAGCCTGGCCAAATCCTGCAGATGTTTCTCAACTCTCTTTCCAATGTCTAGCCAGCCTGTCCTGGCAGACGTGACTGGCAGGATTACCTGCCACTAAAGAGCTTGATGGGCCTCTTTGGAGAAGGAAAGATGAACTTCAGCTGCCCAGCTTTCAGGGCCACGCGAGCCTCCAGGCCAGACTCGTGGAAGAAGTTGGTGTTCATTTGGACCCCACTCCGGGCGAAGTCCGGAACGATGATGCCCATGTTTGTTACAAACTCCATGGACACAGAAGGCTTTGCCACCAGTTCAGCCTGCATCTGTAAGTCAGAAGATACCTACTCAGTTTTGCTAAATATCTCAGCCCCCTTCTGTTAGATCAGCCACTCTTCCCCATCCCTGGGCAAATATCTCTGGATAATTCATGCCTCAGAAAACATTATTGTGATTTATTGGCAAGAAGAGATGCCAAGTTTTTAGTTCCCCGGAGCTTGACTGCATCACCCAGGACTAGGAAGTGCCTGAGCTAACTGTAAGCATATTTGGATAAGAAGTTGGCAGGGATACTCATTTATAAGGACAGCTGAATTTTCTTATTGCTATATCCCAAGTGGAGATGATATAATGGTGCATGCTGGTGGAACTCTAAAATTTTCATTAAAATGAGTTGATTACAGTGATAATCACTTTGTCTTGAACTAGAGACACATTCTAAAAATGTGGAGGAAAAGAACAACAGTCATTGATTTGCTTGGATTCAATGCAGAATCTTACATTGGCTAGTTCCAGTTTTACTCCAGCTTTGGTGCCAGGGGTGATAATTCCAGATGAGGACACATGCAGTTGTAATCCCACTCCAGTGGGGAGTTCAAAGGCATTGTCCATGAAGATGTAGTGAAGAAACAAGTCATTCTTTGAACCTTCCCTTATGGCCTCTCCAATCTGCAAATCCAATAAAGGAGAACTTAAAATAAGCATTGTATCAGTGAGTTTTATTAAATGCAAAGTCTCAAACATTAGACAACGATTCCTCTTTATCCAGAAAGGATGGAACTAGAATGTTTTGGTTAGCTGAGTAGTTTGATAAATACAGGTTAGTGATTACAGATCTGCATGCATTGGGATATAAGATGTTGCTCTGGATTGACTGAGTTCAAGGCATTTTCAACTGGTGATTCAGAGGCACCTGGGAATACAAGTGGGCTTCCTTCCTTTCCTTTTTTCTTCCTTCCTCTCTCCCTCCCTCCCTCTCTTCCTTCTTTCTTTTTTCTTTCTGAGTGCTGGGGATTGAACCTAGGGCCTTACACATGCTAGGCAAGTGCTCTACCATTGAGCTACTTCCCAGTCCTTGATTCTTGTTTTTTTTTTTTTAACATGATTATTTATCTAATCATAGAGTGTATGTTTGCATATTTTCCTTTCTGTAAACTAATAATAGTAATAATGGTACAACAAATATTTGGATAGTGGGTTACATAATCCTCGTATTCTTTCAATATTAAAAAGTCTTTAATGTACGTAGAGGAAGGTGCACTTAACATTGTTTTCTAGAAGATCAAACTAATGCTCTTAAAAGATACAGCTAACATTATGAATAGTTCCATTTCTGAATTCTAACCATTTCTTGTGTGCCATGAATTATGCTTATTGAAATTGAAGGAAAACCTGTGTCTTTGAAGGAAGTACAAACACTTTCTCTGATTTGTGTCACTGGGATATCAAAGGAGTCTGGGAGATCTAAGAAGAGGCTGGGCTAAAGGGGCCTGGTTCACTTACCATCTGGGGGATCCCCTGCAGAGTGTGAGCACCATTCAGCAGCAGCCTTCCCAGGAGCTGGAGATCTTGGAGCCTGACAAAGCCAAGCTCTTCCCCCAAGATGCGGAGGTAGGCTCTAGCTTCTGGAATTTCTTTGGATTTCAAATCTTTGATCAGCTTGTCGACAATGGGCATGATTCCATTTACCATGTCCTGGGATTGTAGTAATAAAAAATATAGTGAGATGCCAGTTCTATTCAAGACCTTTAGATTCCTGAGGTGGGGGTCTATCTATTGAAGCTGTGATGCACGATGCACATAAGCACAAGCTCTCAAGGTGGGTTACAGAGCAGACACTGAAATGAGACTCCCACCTTTTACTGAAAGATAATTCTCCCCAAGCAGAGATGAAAACACCTGAGGTCTTGTCATAGATAGTAGTGCTGTCAAACTGTTCTTAACTTGAAAAATGTAAATGTAGTAAGAGAACTACCTGTTCTCTAGAACGCCAGGATCCCTAGTGCTCCTTAAGGTTGGCCTACCTCCCCTGCTTAGTCTTCTCTTCTTTGAGTAGGAAAGAGTCCTAGGTGTTTCTTGAGAAAATGGAGTTGTGATATAAGTTAGACAAAAGCTTGAGAAACACCTTATTCTAGATCCTTCTTAGATCCTTTCTTCTCAGTGATAGGAAAAATTACATTGACTGATGCACAGGTATTGAGAAAGAAAAGAGATTGACAGACCCAAAACAGATCAAAGTGGAGGTCAGCAAAGAAGATAGAAGTGAGGCTACCAGTGAGCCACAAGGAGCAAATTCTTGTCCTATTTCTCAGCCTCAAATGTGCGTCCAAGTCCCCAGGAGTCTTACTAAAATGAAGGTTCTCACATGTATGAAAATAGAATAATAAAATCTGCTAAAAACTTATTTTAAAAAGGGGGATGAAAAATGAGAAAGAGTAACAGAAGGGGTGTATTTGATCAAAGTATATTATATGAATGTATGCATTTCACAACGAAGCCCCTTTGCACAATTAATATATGCTAAAAAATGTAAAAAAAAAGTAGGTTCTGATTCACTAGGTCCTGGTGGGCCTGAGAACCAGCATGTCTAACAAGCTTTCATGTAGTGTCAATCACCTTTGGGTAGCAAAAAAATAAAGAACAAGAAGCTTCAGATTATACAACCTACTTTCTACTCCTCAAATGGGGGCTCCCTTCCAGCTTCAAAGTGCATTTTTGTTCCCATTAATTAGTGCACTGATGTGAATAAGAGCCAAATAAAGTAGTTAATGATGAAAAATACTAATTTAAAACAGGTAGTATAATCTTTAAATAAGGTATGAATTATTGTTAGCACACATAATATCAGAAACAGAAACAAATGTACATAATACCAAGCAATTTGCCCAGCAAATTGCTTGAAGACAGTGGGGTTAGAATTCAAATTCAAGTTCTAGACTTCACACTCTTAATCATTTTGTTAGAGTATCCCTAGTGAATCTGGTTCCTGGACACACTGAATTTCCAGGAGCCCCTTAACTTCAGAGGGTAATGGCCTTACCCCCATAGGATTTGTTAATATGTAGCCAGAGTGATCATTTCAGTTAGGTAGAACCTTGATGAATTTCAGGCTTAGAAAAGAGAGCTTTTTCACTGAGACCAAAGCTGTGTTTGAGAGGATACTTAGCAGATACATACCTGCTCATGTTTATCATCCTTTGTATAGCCAAAGTGGTCTACCAAGACCTTAGAAACATGGTCAGGAACTTGACCATTGACCCAGTACAAGGCCTTGTTGACACTGTCTGGGAAAAATCCTTGCTTCCCAAAGAGAGCCTCTAGGGTTGGCTCAAAACCTTTTCCTTCTAAGCCAATCTGAAATAGAAAATCAGGCAAGAATATGCCATTAGGTTTTTTGTTGAACATCAGTCTCTGTTCCCCCATTTATGTCCATTTAATTAAATAAGCATTTGATGAAAATTAAATAAGGAAAGGTGTTGAACTTAGCGCTTCACAGTTGTCTATTTGAATCTCATTAGAATCTTGAAGGGTAGAACTTATTAACTTTTCTCTAGAAGAGGAAGCTGTCCATCAGAAAGGTAAATAATTGGGGTTCAAGCCAGATAAGACTGAATAGCTAGTGCATTTCCTTGGATTTTGTGTTGAAGGACTTCTCTGAGACATCTGCTTCTCCATTAACAGGAGTCATGCTTCATATGACCCCTAGTGGACAGAGATGGTATCGTACAGCTTGGGCAAGAGAAATTGAAGTCCTTCAGTCTCAGGCATACCTCAAACAGATCTGCTGAAGCAAATCCAAAGACAATGAGGGTTGTTTTCAGCATGACTTCTTTAGGAAGATAATTATTTGGATCAAATATAAGGTTCCCTTCGATTTTGGCTGAGGCTGGGTCAAGCGATGGAAGAGAAACAGATTTGGAAAGGTGATAGTTCTGGGAAAATTTTCTGAAATCCATGACTGTTGGAAGTTCAGAGTCCTTCAGAGCTTCTTTCACTAAGTTTTTCAGACTAGATGAAAGGAAAGAATATGCTTTGAGTCAATATACCATGTTACTTTTTCATTGTATCTCATACCCCAAGTAGATACAGATTTCAAAGTGCTACTAAAATTTGTGGGTTTCATTTGCCCCAAGACTTTGGCTCAGGGTCTGCTGCATATTCACACAAATGTCTTTGATCCCGAAGAAAGCATGCTTCCTATGTGGCAGGCAGTGACGGGATCAGAATGGACGTCTGGAATTCTAGCCCAGCACCCTCAGTGGCAAATGGGGAGAAATTACTCTTACTTACTCTTCAATATACAATTCTTCTGAGTTCAAGATGTTAGCAATATGAGAGGCCACAAAGTTCTTCACTTGCTCATTCCGTTCCCATGGAAGAAGCTGGACAATTTTGTTGACATCTGATGAGGAAGGCTGTCGCATGAGCATGAGATAAGCAGCCAGTCTTTTCTCCACTGGGGAAGTGCCGTCAACAAAACTCTGAAGAAGGATGCCTCGGACCTGTAGTCAGAAGGAGAGACAGTTATCACTGTCCTTTGGGTGTGCCTGGCCAAGACTGGCATAGTCTGCTAGCTCTTTCTTATGCACAAGTCGAATTTCTCTCTAATCATGCTGCAAATACTGGTACTGAATCTTCTCCTTAGCGTTCCCCAGGACAATCAACTCAAGGTGGGGTTCTTAGATGACTTCCACTGAATATGTGTGGAATTCAATTGCATTAAAACACACAAATTACGTCCAAGTTATGATTTGTTTGGAGAACTACCACTAAGTGAAGATAAAGTTGTTTTAATATAAATTATTTAAATGCGAAGATAAAGATGGGAAGGACAGTAAGAGTTTGAGGCTCATAACTAAAGTAGTTTCCAAAGCTCTGGAGTTTTTACCATCTAAGGTAGTTTGGCAAGACTGAGGAATACCAATGTTTTCTAAGATGAGAGTGATGGTCAGCCTGATAGTAGGGACAGATAGCACGCAGCAAAAATCTCATGTTCTACATGGTGCAGTAGCGGCAAGTTTGAATGTGTGTTTCATGCCCATATACTGATAGGAAGTCAAGTCAATAGGCTTGTTGAAATTTGCAATTAGAAAACAGTAGAAGTCAGCAGAATGATGAGATTTATAATCTCATCCCCCTAGGACTTCTCCAAACGTTGTTGATGAGCATAAATTTTCACTTTCCAAATTCCTCTGAGAACTTTACCTCATCTTCAAGTTCCATCTTCCTCAGGGCCTGGATAGCAGCTTTCTGGATCAGCAGTGATGGCTTTGTACTTTTGATGCATTTCAGGACTGAAGACTTGAGTCTTGGCATTACCTGCTCCATGGTTTTGCCCATATTTCCAATGACCTGCATTGAAGAAAAGAAACAAGAACCCATCACAGAGAAGAAGGCAAAGTAAGGGATGGTCAGGAAGAGCATTTCTGAAAAGAAACCTGATACACAAAAGACTGAATGTACCCTCAGAATCAAGTAGGTGTAATCCTCATCTCCCGCGCACTCGTTGCGAATCTGTTCCAACAGATAATCAGCGATGTCTTGCAGGTCCTGGGTGGCTGCGGGGTTCATACTATGATAGCTATGGGATAAGAGAAGAGTATTAGTACTCAAGCAGCATAGTTAGATTTTACTTAAAATCCAAACTTGTTTTTGCTGATATCTTATTTCAAGTTGTTACTCTCAAAATGACCATTAAAAAACACAAGAGGAATGATCACTGTTGGAAGACGGAGGGAATGTGGTGATACTGTAGGGTTTCCTTTCGCCCCAGGAGGGAATGCAGTGTAGAGACTCACTTGTTAACCAGGTGGCTCACAGCATATAGCGTGACCCGGCTCTGCTGCTCCTTCGCTGTGTTAAAGACTTCCCGCAGCCTTTGCACTGAAGGATCTGGGATCAGAGCCACCAGGTAGGTGATGACATCTATCAGAAGGGGATGAGCTTTCTCACTTTTCAGCCACTGGAGGATATGAGTGTAACACTGGGGCTGTCCACACTGAACCAAGGCTTGCAAAGTGATGGGACTGAGAAGAGAAGTGCAGAGAGTTACTTAGAGCACCGTCAAGGCAGGCAAATATCCTTGGCCCATGGTGTGCCCTTTGTAGGAGTGGCTCTCGTCCCGTATTTGCTATCCAGATTGAACCATCTTTCAAAATTCAACTCAGAGCCCAAGAACCATGATGTCTTCTCCAGGAATATTTCCACTGAAGAAGCACCAGCCAGGGAAGTCTAAGAAGGACCCCTGGACCTGAAGCTAAAAGAGGATTGCTAGCTCTGTCCTTTGTTCAGGACACAGAACATGTCTGGCCAACACTGTCTTGGTCCATCCCTGTCCTCTGTACCTTCTGTGATTTTCACATCACTTAGAGCCAGTGCCTTGAAGTATAGAAAAACCACATTAGTTTATTTGCCTGAGTTTTCTCTCCATGAGCCTATGAGCTTCAAGAGGGCATGGATTTCATTTTCTCTCAAACTCTTTGGGGCTCTCACAACAGAATTAGGATAAGAAGGTACCCATTAAAGATGGGAACCACTTCATCCCTGTTTTAACAGCAGATACATTCTTGTGTGTGTGTGTTTATATGTCTTAGTCATGAAATTAATCCAGCAGATATTATTGACTTACTAATTAAGTAAGAGGATTGGTATTTAAATGGTTCCTAAAATTCTCTATTTGGCTAAAGTTCAAAAGCTCTGCAGCAAATCTAGGGTGTCTGAGAGACTAAGAAAGCCGCAACCATTAGCCATTACCTGGACACCTCTATCAGCTGTGGCAAGAGGGAGACCACTGCCTCATTGTTGAGACCTCTCAACTCGGTAACTAGTTTATTGAAGAGATTTGCTCTCTGGCTGTTCTGCTCCGAGATGGACAGTTTAGTCAGTTCCTGGAGAGTCTTCAAAACAGATTCGGCTTGCTTCGGTAGCGATGTGGACTTGGTGCTCTCAAAGGCCAGGCCCACCTGCTCAGCACCTGGAAGAGGGGAAGTGTCAGAGGAGTTTTTGCTTACTTCTGTAGCTCAAAGCCAAATGGGAACTGGACACTTGGGATATATCAGAAGAAGGAAAAAGAGAAGAAAATGATCATATTCTCAGTGACTACCAGGTGTTTGACTTTGCACTGGGCATTTGACTTAACTGTTTTCACGCATGCGTCAGAGTATCCCTGAGGGGTACGGTACATTCCCCAACTTGAAGAAAAGGGAACTAAGGCCCAGAGATGAGCAACATTTGAAACTTTTTGCCCAAGATCACTCGGGACCTATGAGGCAGAGCTAGTACAGAATCCAGGCTTTTCTGGATCTGGTACAGATGGTGGTGAGGGACTACTGCCACTATAGTGAGAGTTGAGGCCACACTCAATGGTCCTTACTTATCAGTTCTTCTAATTGAATCTGTCAGTAGCTTGTGGAGAAAGGAAACCCTTTTGCAGCCCTTTGAGCCTATGCCAGGGAGGCAGTGAGAATCAGTCTCTGTGTGGGAAAATGCGCAGAGTTCCAGCTTCAATTAGACCTGGGTGCTCATTTTGCACCCCATCTGAGATTTTGTGACTTAGACCACATCACCAAGTCATTTCCCCTCTGCAGAATGGGTGTCAAAGCACAGGCTACCACCACCTGACACCATAGGCTCTCTATGAACAAAGAGAACAGCAGTATGGCTGGGGGCATGACTGAAAGGGCACCTGCTTAGCAAGTTCAAGACCCTGAGTTCAACCCCCAAGTTCTGAAAAAAAAAAAAATAAGCAAATAACAAACAAGCCAGAGATAACAATGAGATAATGCATAAGAAAAAGTTTTGACAGATTTAAATGCAACATAATGCTGAATTAAGGTTTGAGGAGAGATCTCTAAAGTTTCTTTTCACTCTAAAGATCAATTCATTGAATTACTATATATCCTGACCCTGAACACCCTTTCCCATTTGTACACCTCATCCAGGAAGCCCCCCATCTACCACAAGGTATATGAGATTGTCAGTGCTGCCAAAGGTGTCATGTTACACTTGGGGTTCCAATTTCCTACTTAGAAAGACTTCACTCAATAGTTAGCAGATATTTAACAGGGCCCATTCAAGAACTAGCCATGATTGGCACCTCTCAGGCAGATTTCCCTGCACTTACATGGACATAAAGTCTTACCTTCACCAAAGAAGCGGCTGTTGATCTTAGGTGTGTCTTCAAGTTTCAATGTCTGTGTAACGTGTGTCATCATCCCGTACTTATTCCTGGTAATAAAAGAAGCACACTGCATCATAAATGGCCAGCTCCCCAGAAAATGCTATTCTTTTCATGTTGAAAGGTTCCCTTTTTGCCTCGCCCAAATTCTGTCCACCTTTCAAGTCATGGTGAAATCCAGTAATCCTTGCCCACCCAATGAACAGGACCCATCTGCTCCTACTCATAACAGTTATCCTTCCATTAGAAGAACAAATGTACCTTGTGGCCTACAATAATCTAGAATGTCCAGAGGGTTGGGACCCACTGTGCCTTGTAATTGTTTTGTATCTCCGATACCACAAGGCCAAAAATAGAGCAATTATGCAATATGTATTCATTAAGTATCAGTTTTCAAAATGTGTTTCAACATACAAGTGTCTAGTCAAAATCATGAACCCTCCATGAAGTCATTTCTAACCCTGCAATGACTTGTAGCTTTTCTGGGTCCTTACAAATCCATACAGTCTGAGTCCAAGATATTTTTTTGTTGGTCTCAAATTGTTTCACATGCCTAAAATCTTTTTGCCAATGCCTGTTAGCTAAAAAGAAAAAGGCAGGGACAGAGATGGGCTTTGCCTTGTGCCTCTCTATAGCTTTCTCTCTGGCACAGCTTAGAACAGAACCGGGCACTCAAAAGTGTTTAGCTCCCATTAAAAGATGAACTGGGGGAGCAGCAGGTGACTTACTTATAGGAGAAAGGCAAGAACAGGTGCTGCTCTTTGCAGATGGCTTCTGACACATGCTTCCTCTTGGAGTCCAGGGTGTACTGGCAGGACTGGCTGCTGCTGATCAAAGTTGACAAGGGGTGGACCTATGAATGAGATGGTAGAAAAGCATTTTGATCAGTCCCTGGGACTTGAAGCTGCCTTTGGCAGTTGCCTGCAAGGTAGAAGGGGGTGGGAATCTTACACCACTAGATAAACTCAGTAAAAGGAAGAGAACTTGATACTTGACATCAGAGACGGGGACACAAGTTCAGCATCCTCAAGGCTGTAGACTCTTTTTATTTGGCCTCAATGTTGCCACCATCCTGTACAACCTATGTCCCATGCATACTCGCTCACCACACACACAACTTACGAGCTTCTACTCTGTAAGTTTTCTTTGACTAGAACCATGTCCTCACATCTCTCTTCCATTTACTGGTCCATTTTTCATGTTCGTGCTCCATACTCTCCTTGTCTCTGCCCAATGAGCAATGTGAGTAATGCTTTATCCTTTCTAGTCAGACATAGGATTGCTTGTTCGCACTGCTCAGTGTATCACTTTATCAACTATGCTACTTATTGTCTTTTCTTGACGTGTGTGTGAACCTTTTGTATAAACCTGGAAATCTTTTGAGGTGGAAGGCCCATGGTTCGTTGGTTACTTTTCCTCCTTCAATGCTACCCAGGATGGGGTCTGACACACAGTGTTCAAAGAAAGACACAAAGACATGCGTTGTCCTCTTCCGACTGTGGTCATCAGGTTTCCTATTTTCAGGCCTGAGAACAATAACCAGGCATGGCAGCAATTGCTCAAGCCCTTCACGTTTACTGAGATGACCTGTGATTCCTGTTCTGAAAGATGTTACTGGAGCCTGGCAAACTTAGGTGATATGGTGCTATGTGGCCCCAATTAATAGCAGAGAAAGTTATTACCGAGGGGGTGGTCCAGACAGGAGGCCAAAGGCCTGCCTTTGGTCAGAGTCATACTTGGGGTGGAAAGACACGAAGGTGGAATATTTCCAATCACGTTACTTCATAGGATAGGGGAGAAAGGAAGATACAGGTCTTGGAATTTCCTTGGAGTCCAGACACTTGGGACAACCAGCTCTTGTTAGTTGGAAAGAAAAGTAGGTAACTATGCTTTCTCTGGGATGGACAGTCATTACTCTAAGTGATAGAAGATAGTTTGGTGCCATGACAGAAGGACAAAAAGAAGGGCAGAGCTCTAGTGTAGGGGTCAGGAACCTGAGTCTGTAGTCTTAACACAATGAATAATAACCTATGCAGCCTTGATTGTCCTTCCCATGTCTGGCCCTGTGTCCTGCTGCACTCTATATAAAGAACAAATTGGGCTGGTTTTTCTCTAAGGTCTCTACTAGCTGGAACACTCCAGAATTTTCCTAAGGAGGATACTGCTCAGTAAGCATGATAATGTGGTATGAGACTCACCAGGCCTTTGATGAGGGCAAGGGGGCTGACGCCCGTGTTGACAGGCTGGAAGCCATCGCACTGCTGGAGGTTCCTCTCAGTGGATATTTCTGTTGCCACACTTCCTTTCCTTGCATTCACAGTAACGTGAGTGGAGCAATTTCCATACACAGTGTCCTGGAAGAAGAAGATATAATAGGGTACTTTCAGCATGGGTGCCTGGGAGGGCCTGGGAAAGAAGCCTGGGAGCAAAGGCAGAAGGTATGTGGATTTGGAAGGGACGTTCTTTCCTTCTATGTGGAGGGTGGCATTGCTGGTGCCTGGCCAGCCAGCACTGGGAGAGAAGGCCGGTTTGGAAGGGGAGGTGGTTCTGAAGATAGGACCTTGTAGGATGCATTTCTGCATTCTCTAAGAACACAGCAAGCACTCAAAAATGTTCATGGGACGAAAGTGCATTGAGTTCTCTCTATGGGTGAAACCTAAAATTCTTAAGAGGCTGGACCATATTCCAGTCTTTTTGGTGTCAAAAATACATGCAGGTTTTATTGTGCTACAACATGCTGGAACAGAAGAAAAGAATTAAAACAATAGCAGGTGGAGTGGTAAGGACTCCCCACTAACTGCTTTAAAATTAGACCCACCACGATTAATCTGCACAGAATGATCTGTTAGTGAGCTTAGGAGACAGGAGGAATTATAAGCACTGGTATTTCACACCAGTGTAGGGTTCCCTGTGCAGCCACCATGTAGCTAAGCCAAAAGATCTACTTTATCTACAGTGAGGCTGGTCTTTGACATGTGAAGAGAACTTTAAAAGGCCCCTGTCATTAGCTTTCAAAATTCTCACCATAAACAACACTTGTTGGGCCTCGTCTGTTTCTGGGGCAGCCAGGAGAGCAGAAATGATGCCTCTCTTGATGTTCAGGATGTGTTTAGGTTCATCCTTCTCTGGATAAAGGACAACTTGCTTCCCCTCAGGAATGACCAGCCTCAGCTCGTACCTGTACCAGAGAGAGGGCATGTGGTCACAGAAAATCCTTTATCCTTCATGAGCATGCCGGATGGAAGCTGGTGGCATGGCAGGCTCCTTCTTGCTCAGTTGCTCTTCTTCTGACATTAATCCTTTATGAACATATCTACACACACATTTTCAAAAAAGTATACAAAGAGCTGTAGATTTGGCATTCTTTTATTATTTTTTTTCCTGTTTTGTTTGGCTCATTCATCCATTTTCTGTTCTCCATCCATCAGTCTGATCCCATTCTTACTCTATAAGGACACGCTTCTGGATTTCAATATATCTCCATGTTCATAATATCCCATATAGATGTGTGTGGGTATAAACATAGACATATGAAGATTTTACCATTGTTTGCTTTATACAAATGGGATTGTATTACGCCTATTTTTTTCATCTTGTTTTTCTATTTTAATTATACTTTAGGAAAATCCTGAAACATTTGGGACATCTCTAATAGACTGTTTTATAAGAGCTGCTTACCTTCCATTTTATGGTTATGTGTAGTTTATTTAACATTGCCCCATTTGGTGGCATTCACTTTCTTTGGACTTCTTTTTATTCTACACAAACAATGTTGAAATAAACATCCTTATGCATCTATCTTCATGCATTACTGCTTTTATTTTCAGGGACTAAACCTAGAGACTGGAAATGCTGTGTCAGAGGTATAGATATTTTCAATTGGGATAGATATTGTCCTATGGCTCTCATTTCTAGCAGCAGTGCATGAGAATAAACTTTTTGGTACCATAGCTGTTTTAGAGTTCTACAGTCTGATAGGTGTAAGATGATATATGTCCTTTTGTAATATTCATTTGCATTTCCTAACTACTAGTGAATTCAAGCTTCTTTTCATGCATTTCTTGGACACTCATTCCTTTATATGGTCTCAGGACATGTGTGAAGTCCATGCTGACCTTGGTCTTAAGGACTTCTCATTGGGGATGACTTGAGTTTCTGAGGGTCTGCCTGCACCTATCCTAGTTAAGTCAGAAGTGGGGAATTGAAAACATGAAGACTAGGTATGTCTCCTTCAGCTGTGCCCTCTAAGAAAGTTCCAGACACCATGTTGTAGGCCTGAAAAGTCCACTTGGTCAAGAGCAGGAGTCCCTTGTGTTTGGAGAAGAATAAGGACCAAGATGTATTTCCTCCTGCCACCGCACTCCTTCCCTCATGCAAATCTAAGTCTCAGATGAAGTAAGGTGTTTTGATGGGGGGCTGGTGAAGTGGCTCAAGTGGTAAGAGCACCTGCCTAGGAAGCATGAGGCCCTGAGTTCAAATCCCAGTACCACCCCCCCCCAAAAAGAAAGATAAAAGAAAAAGGTGTTTTTGGTGGAAGACAGAAGCATCTACACCTGTTTCACAGAGAATGGACTGAGTGGGTTCTAACATTTCACAAGTCAAAAGATGGACAGGGGTAGTTTTTCCATTCTACCAATTAACAGTCTTGTGAGCGTCTATATTTATACACACTTAAGGCCTCATGAACTGTAATCAGGGACAAAGCAGGGTGATGTTGAAAATATTTGACAACAAGTGCAACATGCGCACTGATCTGTCAGCAGAAATACCAGCTGTAAACAACATCACTGGTGTTCCCATGTGCAGTGGCTGCACGCCAACCCTGGATTGGGGACCTGATAAAGTTTTGGGTGCTCTCTGCCTTGTGCTGCCTTCTGCATCCTGATGTGCTGGCCACACCAGCAAGTGTTACCAGGTTCATGCTGAAGAACTTCAGGCACCAGCCTTTTTAATTCTTTAGACAAGATCTCACTAGTTTAAACAAACCATCCCAGCTTTATTGTCTCAGAGAGTTTAAAACCATGAGCTCTTTTAGAAGAACAATTTAAATGATAATCAAGAGAACCCATCTAAGAGAGGGTAAATACTGCTTCTCTTCTTTTTGAATAGTTGTGAAAACTCCACAATTACCTGATCCATAGTGAATACTGAATAGAAATGCTTGTACTTACAAGCATGCCTCATAGGAACACATCCACTCATACTTCCATGGACACACATGCAATGACAACATCCATGTCCAGTACATTCAGGGATGCACAGAGCTGACATTTAAATCCACATACCCATACCTTACCTGGACATAGCAGCTCCAAACGCCTCAGAGTTCTTCGTTTTCTTCAGCAAGGGTTTGCCTTCAGGGTTGAAGCCGTATACCTCTTTCAGGGTACACTGGCTGGTCCTCAGGATGAAGCTACAGAGTTGGGGAACCTCCAGCTCAACCTGAAAATGGAGGGTAGCAGCACACTGAGGTTCTCCGTCAAGAATGGGAGATGTCCCCATCCCCATGGTTTAATCTGTAATCAGGACACCTAGGGAAATGGAAACATGACGGTCTGCTTCCCAGCCCCACATGCCTCATGGGATGCCAGGCATAGCCTCGGATTTGGCCTACTTCTGGCCTTTTCCTTCCACTGGGTTAAAAAGGTTTGGAAGTTTGCCCCTATCCATGGGAAGTAGCATGTCCTTTTATTGGCTATAAATTTATTTCCTTCAGTTATAAAGAATTTGGTGTGCTTGGTTAAAAGAAATGTAGACTGGAATAAGAGTTAAGAAGAAAAATAGGAAGCAGGAAGAGGGCTATCATTGGTTTCAACAGCAAGCATTTCCTTAATGTCACTGCCCCAAACTGTTTGTATTTACTAGGGCCTATGGAGAGCTTCACATATAGTTGGAGTTGAAATAGACCCCAATTGTTATCCAGTACTATTCAATGAGCTTTCTGCCATGATTGAAATGTTCTATATTTCCACTGTCTAATATGGCAGCAGGAGCCATGGGTGGCTACTGGGACTTGAAATGTGGCCGATGAGACTAGGAACTGAATTTTTACTTTTATTCAATTTAAATAGCCACATGTGGCTCATGCCTACCTTACTTGACAGTACAGACCAGTTTTATGGCACCCAATAGAGAAGAGGGCAACTTTGCAACCTGAATTCTCTTTCCCATATGAACCTTGATAGTAGTCTGGGTCTGCCCTGGGTTCTGCTCCACGTGTACATGGACAGGAGTACAACTGGCCTCAAAATAAGTAAGGCTTTGCCAGGTGCAGGTGGCTCACGCCTGTAATCCTGGCTACCCAGGTGGCAGAGATCAGGAGGATTGAGGTTCGAAGCCAGCCTGGGCAATAGTTCATGAGACCCTATCTCGAAAACCCTTCACAAAAAAGGGCTGGTGGAATGGTTCAAGGTGTAGGCCCTGAGTTTAAGCCTCAGTACTACCACAAAAAAGTAAGGTTTTATTTTAGAACAAACTATGTTTAACATTTTCTTTTTTTGCATTTGTTTTTAGCAACAGATTCTGTTTGATTGAGATATAAACACCGCATTCCAGAGTGCTTTTCTGAGATGCTCACCCACTGGGACTCTCTCATGCTCAAATCTGTAGGCCTGCACTGCTGGTAATCTATGGTTCATGAAATTTTCTGTAGCAGATGACTTCTCACCATTGTGGCTGACTTACAAACTGAGGGGTCATCTTAGCACTTTGAGGTTACAGCAATCCTAAAATGTTCTGGAAACTCTCAGAAGGTCCAGTGCTGGACACCTGGTGGAGCAGGGCTGGGTCAAGCCCTGGGTTTCAGGTTCCTCCAATCCCATCTTCCCTACCTTGCAGTTGATCTTGGTGGCACTTCTTGAATCAGCAGTCCCAGGGACTCCACTGGAACTCTCAGCTTCATAGTTGTACATGTACTTACGGAGGTGTTTGAATCGTGTTGCATCTTCTAAAATGAGAAATAAGTCAGTCACACAGCTGAAATAACTCCCAAGGGCAGTCATTTCTGGGCTGAGAGGGTCATAGCATAATAAAAAATGGTAATTGAACTCAAATTATTATTATTATTTATTAGAAAATAAATAATTGAACAGGGGAACTACATTGTGACATTTACATACGTGCATGCAATATATCTTAATTAGATTCACCTCCCCATCATTCTTCCTCAGCCCCCTCTTCTTAGAATTATTTAAACAGGTTTCATTGTGCTATTTTCATACATGTATGCATAGTACATGGACCATATTTCTCTCCTTCACCATCTCCATTTACCCTGCCCCTCCTACTGGTACTCACCCTCAGACAGGACCTATTTTACCTTCCTGTCCTTCGTTTTCTAAAATATATCATTATTTTTAATGGACTTTGCTTTGTACTTAATTGTTCTTTATAGATTTAATTTCTTCATTATGTTTTTTGCTGAGACTGATATTTAAATTAGCTGGGATTCCTTGAATATATCATATGAGGTACAGGGAATAGAGTGTCAAGTATAAATAAAGAGGCTCTGAAAATCAGAAGAAGAGACATTAAACAAAGGGATAGTGCTAGTTCTGATGCTTTCTCGGGTTGGAAATACCATCATTCTGTGACTCTTTTCTGGTTATACTAAATGCTTTATGCCAAGTTCATTAAGCACTAGGAATTTATGATCCCCCCTCCCCCAAGAAAAAATTTCTGGAAGAACTTTATGAACAATTTGAGAGAAATAGCTGGGTCACGAGCCCAGGTGGAGTGATGCCATATGACCACCAGATGGCGGTGCTGCCCCGTCGGAAGAGAAGCCAGGGCTGGAACACCTAGAACACCGAGTACCGCTTCAAGGCCGGCTCCTCTGAAGCCAAGGGGTCAGGTAAATACCGACGGTGGGGGGCAGAATTTCTGCACAAAGGTTAAAGTCAGCATTTCCTCATCCTCACACCAGGAATCAATGATTAGTCACTGATAAACAGGGCAGCGATGAATCTTCAAAGTGTTCACGGGCAAACAGAGTGACAGTCCCTTCCCTGCCCTACATCCAGGTCAAGTATTGGGACAGCACAGACAGGCAGGCAGAAGAGGGCTGAGATTCCTTGGGAGAGGACTGAGGCCCAAAGCACTTGTTTCCTGGGATCAGAGCAGTGCAGACCAATCTTACAACCACACTGCTATATAGGGAGAGAGGGGGGCTCTTAGTGACCAGAGGTGCAAAGGACCAGCTGGGGGCCGAGGGGGAGAGAGGAGAAAGGCCTTACTTGGACAGCTCGGGCTCACATTTTCCAGTACTTCGTCTTCTGTAAGAAAAGGAGAAACAAAACTGGCTTTTCTCCCATGTCGGAGCTGACAAGGCGGACCTCTGCACAAGTCTTACTTTTCAGGTCAGAAATCGGTTCTGGAGAACCCATTCTCCACTTCCCCACCTCCCTTTTGCTGTCCCCATCCTGAGCCTGAAGGAGTCATCAGCTAGTCCTGGCCCCCATCACCGGTGGACCCTGTGGCTGTCCTCCCTCTGACCAGGCCCAAGCTGGCCCAGCTATCTCCTTGTCTCGAACTTCCCCTTCCTCTGGTTTCGTTGTGGACCGATGCCACAGCCCCGCACCCTGACCCGACCCCTCCAGCACTCACGGGCCCGGACGCTGGCGTCCAGGAGCAGCAGCAGCAGCGGCAGCAGCAGCAGCGGCAGCAGCGCGGGCCTTGGAGGGCCCATGGCTGACCCGCAGGTGGGGTGGCTTCCTAGCTGCGGCCTGGCCACGGCCTGGCGCCGCTGCTGGCTCCCGGGGCTCCTCGAGACGGCTCTGGGGTGGGCACCGGCTCCGCAGCTGGCACAGTGGAAATGTCTGGGCGCGCGCAAGCGCTCCATTTATAGGAGGCCCTGGCTTAAGGAGAATTGCAAAAGGTTCAAAGGGCACATCCCTGGCCTGTTTGCTTTTCCACACAGATTTTTGTCTCTAAGCGGAAAGGAGGGGCCTGGTAGGGGTCCTTACTTCAGAGCCAGCTGCAGCCATCCGGGGCTTTCCTCGGGCCTGAACTTTTCTGCTAGGGTCTCTGACAGTGGGCGGTGGGCTTATTGCCTGAGAAGCTGCCCTGACTGGAGTGCCTTGGGGGATGACTAGCTACAGGGAGAACACCCACCCTCCTCCTGCTCTGACTTTGGAGCCCTTTAGAGAGCCAGTCCTTAACGTCCCTGCCTGCACATCTTCCTAAGTTCTTTCCCTTTGGTGGAGGTAGGGTTTGCATAGACAGTCCAGTCCTGATCAGCGCCTGTGGCTATTGGAGGGGAAGAGAGAGAGAAAGGGAAACCAAGGTGGTCTGGTGAGTGAGGGCACTGGCCCAGTCACAGTGTGATTCCAGTTGCCTACAACCCAGTGAGGAGGGGCCTTTGGAGAAGACCAGCCCTCTAGGGCCCACCCCTGGGTCGGATCTTCTTGGGAAATTGAGGAGAGAGGCTATTCCTTCAGTTTCTTCCAGTGTCCTGCAGGCCAATAAAGAGAAGGCAGAGGAGAGAAGTGGACACAGATATTTCCTAAGGACAGCCTAGAATCTTCTCATGAATCTTTACTTCTCTTCCAGGTACTGTCCATGTTCCACAGGAAACGTGTGCCAGCACTCTGTTCTTCTGTCTGGCTCTAGGAACTCAGGCACTGTGTAGACAGTCACTGACCTGGGATCAACCACAAAGGGTATTAATGGGATGGGTAGATGTCTGAGCTTGGCTGTGTCCACAAGGCACTTTATCTGGCTGGGGGAATAAGATGCATAGATAGGAATCTTCAGGTAAGTCATGAAGGTAGGGTGTAAAGAGTGCAAACCTGTGTGGGGCATCAGTGCTAGTGTGGGGCTTCATGCATACATGAAGGAGTGGGAGTCGAAGGTGGCCTAGGAGCAGTGGAGTGGATGTGAAGAGTGTGGGATACTGTAAGTATTGTCTTGGTATCAGTATTTACTGTTACAAGGTGTCAGTTTTGTTTGATTTGTAAGATATATCCAGATGTAGCAAGCTACTTGTGAAATTGTTTACATCTTCTGGTGGCATGATAGATGGTTCCAGAAGGATAAGTGCTGAAACTGTAATCTTGTATCAAGATCCCTTTGCCTTCAGAGAATATGTACCACTATGTTTGCCTTGTTCTCTGCACCCAGGCCTCCACCCGTCTCCTCGTTCAGGTGTCCTTGTCTGTAGTCACAAACTCCCTCTTGGCAGTTAACACCCCTGAGCAAGCCATTGCTTTGTGCTCAGGTATGTCTGTGTTGTTAAGGGCTGTCTACTAACAGAGATCTAAACTCAAAGCTGGCCAAACCTGTCCCAGTGCATCCAGAAAGGTCCGAAAAAGTCATTGCCCTGACATTTTATTTGCATTATCTTATGTGGATTGACTTCTCACAGGACCAACACTGTTTGTGTTTGAGGAAATGGTGCTGTTCTTATGCATATTCACTTCAAGGAGAATGGGCAAGAATATTTAGGTATAAAGTAATCAGAAAGAGATGGCTAACATTAATTTATAAACAATGTCTGGCCTTTCTCTGTTGGTGACAGATGGAACCAGTGTCTTATGTTAGTAGAAAGCATAAATTTTATAAACTGGGAATCAAAAATGAATCTGAGAACTCAGATGTAGGGAAAAATTGTGAGATGTTTGAATGCTTTGAACTAAACGCCAACATCTCTAAAAGAAAACCTGAGACTCTCAAGTTTTGGGGTCAGCTTCCATTTCTTTTCTTATTGGCCTTTGGAAAGTATCGTCTGGGCTAGTGTTCAGCCTCTGTACTTATTCTCCCACAGGGTCCAGCACACAATACCAGAGAGTAGATGTTACATTACCGAGCTAACTTAAGTACACACAGGAATACTATAAGCATTCATGTGTAGCTTTTTCTTAAATTACAACAATCCAGGGCTGGTAGAGTGGCTTAAGCAGTAAGAGCACCTGCCTAGTAAGCATGAGGCCCTGCGTTCAAACCGCAGTGCTACAAGGAAAAAAAAAAAGAACAAAAATCCACTTAGATCTTTTGTTGAAAGCTATTTGAAAATATTTTTGATCACAGATACCATCTTTCATCCCTTCTTTGTTAAGCAGAACTTTCTCACTTCCCTGTCCTGAACGAGTTCTAAGTTTCAAAGACCAGTATTCAGAGAAACTTCAAATAGAATCAAGAGTCAGGAGATCTTTGGGTGAAAGCTACTCATAGAGAAGAAAAAATCCTGGTCCAGAGAGGTCAGCTGTTGTGAAGGAAACCAATATGGGCTTTAGACTCAGGAAGATCTGGATTGAATCCTAGTTGGGTTTCTTGTGAGGTTTAGAACCTGGGGTAAGTGACATCAACCTCTTCAGTCTTTGTGTGGTTGCAGGATTAATGTTATCTACCTCCTAGGAATTTTACAGAGAGTTAAATAAAGCAATTATGTAAAACATAAGACATCTATCAAGATGCCTGATAAATAAAAGGCACTTGGTAAGTGGTAACCATTACCATTCCTTATGTGTATGTTACTGTGGAAGTGTGTTTGCCCATATACCTAGTTCAGCTAGCTAACCACAACCTACATAGAAACAGATATTAACAGAACACAGGTAGGAAATGAGGACTGAGGAATGGGAGCAGGAGTGAAATAGGCCGACCATGAGGGTAGGGTGTAGTTGTGACCAAGCATCCATTTAGCTATGATTCCAATGTTTGTTTTGAGGCAAATAGAGATCCTCCCAAAGCAAGTTGACAAGTGACTATCACTGTGGTGTCACATGGATTAATCTCAACTAGTCTCTATGACTTATCAGTTCATGAATGCAAAGTCCTGTTGGGTGAACCATCAATCTGAGTAATCATAGGAGGGTTCTGAGTATCCATTAGAAAGTCACATGACTAGTGGAATTTCAAGACACTAAATGTCCTGGTCCCTAGTCTATAGAAGCCGAACTATCCATTTGCCTCTCTGCAGGTGACTAGAAGGGTCTTGGACAAATTCAGGGAACTATGGCTCCCAGAAACTGCTGAGTTCAGGGCAGTTCATGTAATGAAGAAGGAGTTCAGTACATAATCTGTTTATCAGATTCATAATCTGAATATCATGAATGAATCTATGTCATTTAGTTATACCTCATTGATTCTATGCTATTTATGTACAATGACCAACATGCTAAATAAATGTTTTCATTGACATAAAGTGAGAAAATACAATCTGATATAAATTATTCCCAGCCATGCTGGGCAAAAAACTCATCTGACAAATAGGGACCAGTATTGACAATGATTAATTAGTCTGTCTCTTTTCTGCCTATGACAACATTATAATTTTAAATGATGTCCAGAAGCTAGAAAGTAAATTTCAAGAATTTTAGATGGAACCATGCATGCCCACGGTGGTCTGAACATGTCAAAATATGTGTGTACACACATGCACTTATTCATCCCCCCACACACACACATGCAGACACATAAATAAGAAATTTGAAGAAAAAATTGTGCAATTAGGTGAGTAGTTCAGGTGGGAGGTGGTAAGGTGGGCCAGTGTCAGCCAAATGGAGACATTCCAGGTGCGTGATTATTAATCTTCTATGAGGAAGCAAAAGAAAACTTTCCTCCTCCATCATTCTGCTTTCCAAGAGATAAGGTCAGAATGTTGAGCAGCAGCTCTTAACTGGGGAGAGAAATCAGAAGTCAGCAGGATTAAACATGCAATGAAATCTTATGTATATGAATTATCACCCCTTCAGTTCTCCAAATCTCATCCTTCTGACCTCTCACTGCCAGTTCCAGCCCTTTCCCCTGTAAGGAGCTTTTCCTTGGGAACAGCCCAGTTAGACTTCATGGCTTCTGACCCTGATGTCCTATCAGTTAGTTTCTATATAGAACAGTGCATCATGAAGGATCTTCATGCACACTGTGTTACCCTGAAATTATGCTTTTCTGTTGAACATTTAATTTTTTACCTTGCCAACTACTGAGATAAGCTTGGAGGGCAAGGACCATAGTTGGTACCCTTGTGTTCCTCTTCCCTCTCTTTCCTTAGTGCCTTGCACCAGGTGAGGAGGAGCACAACTATGAAGCAAATGCTGAAATTGTAATATCATATGATCCTGGTGAGATAGGTTTCATTCCTATAGGCCTTCATTTTGCTCTTGAGTACTGCTGCATATGTTTATGTCTGAATTTAGAATGCATGGTGACCTTAAAGCTGTATGAGAGAGACAGGACCTGTGAGTCTATGCCATTCTATGGATACTCTGGGGACTTAAGAAACAAATATATAAATGATACTGGGCTTAAACCTCATAGTGGTTAGGAGATATGGCTGAGGATTCAATATCATCAGGCTGGATGGATTTTCCGAAGGCCAGACACCTCTGCAAAGACTGAGCTCATGCTTCCCCGGAACAGAACTCTATCCATGTTCAACAGATTTCTAAATAAAGAGAAGCACACTCTCTTGGGGATCTTGGGGCACAATGAATCACAACTCTCAGGGAGTTCTTTCTCAACTCTAGCTTTAGGTTTTGACCTTAGAGAAGGTTCTTTGGATGTAACTTGGTATTGTCAATATCTCTTTACTATTTTTTTTCCTTTTGGCAAATTCTGGGGATTGATTTCAGAGCCTTGCTCTACACTCGAACCATACCCACAGCCCTTTTTGTTTGAGTTTGTTTTTTACATAGGTCCTTGTACTTTTGCCAGGACTGCCCTTGGACTGTGATCCTACTGTCTCTGCCTCTAGAATAGCTGGGATTCCAGGCATGTACCACCACACCCAGAACTCTTTACTAAAGCTTAAACTTTTATGTTC